ATGATACCCTTCTTTGAGTACAAAATCTCCATCCCTATGAAATATGTCATTTTTCCTAGATCTGTCATCTCGAACTCATTCATCAGAACTTCTTTGAATTTCTTTATATCTTCTGGGCAGCTGCCTGTTAGCAAAATGTCATCAACATAGAGACACACCAGAATCATATTATTATCAGAGTGTTGTACATAAACTCCATATTCCATCTCACATTTCTGAAACCTCAGCTTCTTGAAAAACGAATCAATTTTCAGATCCTAAGCTCTAGGCGCTTGCTTCAGTTCATACAGAGCTTTATTCAACCTGTATACCATCCCTTCATGATTCTTTTTTTTCAAATCCAGGAGGTTGTGACACATAAACTTCTTCCTGTAATGGACCATTCAGAAATGCATACTTCACATCCAGATGCATTAAAGGCCAATTTCTATTTGCAGCTAAAGCAATCACCAGTCTGATTGTTTCATGCCTAGCTACAGGCGCAAACACCTCAAAGTAATTTAGCCCAGGTTTCTGAAGAAAAACTCTAGCTACTAGTCTAGCTTTGTGCTTGGCAATTGAACCATCCGGCTTAAGTTTCAACTTAAAAACCCATATGACGCTTATGGCTTTTTTCTTATCTGGAAGTTTAGTCAATTTCCAAGTTTTGTTCCTTTCTATTGCCTCAAGTTCTTCTTTCATGGAATTAAGCCATTCTTTCTTCTTGAGAGCTTCTTCAATACCCACTGGTTCAGAAACTATTAACATTGCACACTGAACGACTTCTCCTTCAGAGTCAACTTCATTATCCTGTAACATGTCAAAATCTGCAAACCTTCTTGGTTTTTGTCTGATTCTCTGTGGTCTTTGAGCTTGTTCTGAAGCTGCACCAGAACTACTACTTTCAGAGTTACCACCTTCAGAGTTTTCCCTTCCAAAACTATGATCACCACCAGATTTTGGATCATCATCAGCATCTGGATCAGAATCAGATCCATTGCCAGAATCTTCTTCTGACTCATCTTCAGAATCTTCAGGATCTTCAGAATCAGATTCATCTTCTTAAATTTCTAAAACATCTTTAGAGGATAACTCTGGTGTTGGCACTACACCAGAATCTGATTGAGATTTGTTCCAATCCCATGCTTCAGACTCTTTCACCACAACGTCTCTGCTGACTTCAACTTTATTAGTTTCTAGATAATAAAGCTTATATGCACATGTACTGTGGTACCCCACCACCAACATTACTTTGCTTCTATCATCCAGTTTTTGTCTTCTAGCTTCTGGAACGTGTTTGTAACAGATAGAGCCAAACACCTTCAGATGACTGACACTCTGCTTATCTCCAGTCCATTTCTCTAAAGGAACAACTTCCTTCAGTTTCTTCGCTGGACACCTGTTCAGAATATATACTGATGTGGCAATAACTTCTCTCCATAGCACGTGAGGTAGCTTTTTCTCTTTCAGCATGCTTCTGGTCATATCAAGCAAATTTGTGTTTCTTCTTTCAGCAAGACCGTTGTGCTGAGGAGTATATGGAGAAGTAACCTCATGTTTTATTCCACTCTCCTCACAACTTCTGAAACACTATAGAATTATACTCACTTCCACCATCCGTTCTCAGAATTTTTAACTTCTGACCACTCTGCTTCTCAGCCTTCACTTTAAATTTATGGAACTCAGTAAACACTTCATGCTTGAACTTGATGAGTGTTACCCATGTCATTCTTGTGAACTCATCCACAAAAGACACAAAATAATTGTTTCCTCCAAGTGAAGGTACTGGAAATGGTCCACACACATCAGAATGTACTACTCCCAGAGTATGCTTCGCTCTGGGGGCTGCTTCTGATGTAAATGGCAATCTAGATTGCTTGCCTTTCATGCATATCTCACATGACTTCTCATGCTTCACAATCTTCTAAATACCATGTGCAAGCTTCTTAGAACATAGATGCCCTAAGCTTCTATAGTTCAAATTCCCTAACCTCTTATGCCACAACTTACTGTTACCTTCAGCGCCTTCTGCACTAAGACACGTTGCTTCATCTATTTCTACATTTATCTTGAATGTTCTGTTGCCTTCTTGTTCAGAATTCATAATCAACTTCTGATTGAAATCATACAATGTCAGAAGATTGTTTTTCATAACAACTGAGAAACCTTTCTCAATCAACTGACCTACGCTTATCATATTGCTTCTAATACCAGGAACATACTAAATGTCTTTGATAAGAATGTCTTTCCCATTCTTCACTCTAACTCTGACATCTCCCATACCTTCTGCATTAAGATACTTATCGTCAGCATATCTGATCTTTGTTCTCCTTCTGGAGTCAAAGTCTGTCATCCATTATTTGTTTCCAGTTAAATGATTTGAACAGCCAGTGTCCATATACCACCAATCTTTTGATAATTCTCCATCATAATCAGAAGCCATTAGTAGTACAGGTTCATCATCAGAGTTTCTCTTAGTCATATATGCTTCTTCTGATTTCCTTTCCTTGTTTGACCTACAATCTCTGGAAAAATGGCCAAATTGTTTACAAGAGTAACATTGAACCTTCCTTTTGTCATACCTCTCATTTCCTTTATGATATTTATTATCATCAGAAGTTGAGGCTTCTGACTTCTGGAATCTATCATCATGTTTATTCTGCTTCTGGTCTTTCTTGACAAAAGAAGCCTTCAGAGCTTGCTCAGCTTCCCTCTCAAAAGTTATCTCAGACAGACGTAACTCCTGTGCTTCTAAGCTGCTTTGTAATTCTTCTATTCTCATGGTTTCCAGATCTTTAGAATGTTCAATAGAAACAACAATGTAATCAAACTGAGGAGTAAGCGACCTCAGAATCTTCTCTATGATTACCTGTTCAGACAGAGTTTCTCCACACGCCTTCATCTCGTTAGTGATCAGAATCACTCTGGAGATATATTCAGAAACTTTCTCACTGATCTTCATGTTCAGGTTCTCATATTACTTTCATAGGGATTGAAGCTTCACCTTCTTTACTGATGCGTCACCACCGTAACATCTCACCAGTAAATCTCACGCCCCTTTTGACGTTGTTGAGTCAGCAATCTTCTCGAACACACTTTCATCCACACACTAATGGATATAGAACAGAGCTTTCTGGTCCCTCTTTCCCATCATCCTCTCAGCAGTTCTCTGTTCTTCAGTTGCATCTGCTGCAGCTAGTACATAACCATTTGTAATTAGATCCAGAACATCTTGCGCACCAAACAACACACGCATTTGTATCATCCACCTGTTCCAGTTTTTGACATTAAAAATTGGAAGTTTGGTGTTCAAACTACTGCCTCCACTCATTTTAAACCTTACACGAATTTTTCAGATCTTTAAACACACTGTTTCCCAACCCACAAAATCAGATTTTGTTCAGATTTTTTTGTTCAAGATGTCCAAAAAAAAAAGAACCAAAATCAAACACACAGCTCACAATCACTCGTATTTTCCAGGAAAACAGAACCTAGTGCTCTTGATACCAATTTGTTGGTGCAAGGTAATGAAAGGGGAGAAGAAGAATGAGCAATGAATGATAACAAAGAGGACTACTATTGTATATCAAATAAATGAATGAATGAATTACAATATTGATAGTCTAGGTAGCATATTTATACTAAAATTGAAAATGGCAAAAGACCCTATTAAAGAATAAGCATTGAAAATTATAGATATTAACTAAATTATATTTCTAATACATGGTACATTTAAAACATTCATGCTCAAACAACTAGGAAATCTTTATAAAAATTTGTTCCGTGAATATAGGAAACAATACTATAATACTTTGCTCAAATCGTGTCCATCTACCTCGCTAATTCGGTTATTAAAATATAGGTTAAATATATGTTGCTCTTTATTAATGTGTGAGTTTTGTTTTTCTTCCTAAGGTACTTTTTATTTATTTCATCCTTATAAAATAAAGATTTTATTTGCGGTACCTCTATATTATTGTTTGGTTAATAATGAAATCAACATCAATTACCATTTGACTGGTTCTATTTCGTTAAACAATAATTGCATTAAAATATATAATATTTATTTTTTACTGATAATATTTCTATTGCATCAAAACATTTTTGTTGCTGGTAACATTGCTATTGCATTAAAATATATAATAAACAAAAATTATTATTTAATTATATTAATATATTTTAAGAATACAAGTAATACACTGGCAACATAAACGGTCAATTAATCACAACTATTTATCTAATTATACATTATTTTTATTTTAATATTTTTATTGACATGATAAATTATTAACTTTGTATTGGTTGATTATGCAAAAAAAATTTACACAGACAATGTATAAAAATTGTTCTCTATATTTTGACATGACCTTTTTTTTTTTATTTTGAAAAGAAAGTTTTTTTTTACGATTATAAACTAATTATAAAATTAGTTATGAATATATCATTTTTTTAATACAATTATAAATTAGTTAATATTGATTAAAGTTCTATTATATATAATTTTAATGTAATCGGTGTTCTACGAAATGTAACTTGTCAAGTGACAAATAATATTAGTTTTATTGTTAAAATTATTCGAGTTTTCTTGAGACCATGTCAAAAATTTTAATTTTTAAATAAAAACAATTCAATTCAATAAGTTTTTTAGAATACGGAACAAAAAATAAAACTCGTCCTATTAGTATAAGACAGCCCTTAATATATATATATATATATATATATATATATATATATATATATATATATATATATATATATATATATATATATATATATATATATATATATATATATATATATATATATATATATATATATATATATATATAAGAAAATAGGACACTGTTGGTATTGTTTTGGTATCAATTGAAGTGTCTATTTAAGGAAAGAATAAAATAAACTTCATCAAACAGTATATAAAAACTCAATATACTTTAGTAGTAATACATATAACATCATTTATATTTTATTCTTGCCATACAAATTCTCTTCCTCTTCCTTTCTTAATTTTTTTGTCCACCATGACCATGAAGAGTAGTAATGATCAACAAGGTATAACCTTATCAAATCTAAAGTTTTTCAATTCTCAACTATATTTCATCAATTTCTTTGGCCATATTCTACTTTTTGGTTCTGGTTTACTCATTGGTATCACACTCACTTTTTTCCTCGAAAATTTTTCATTTCAAATCCAACATTTCCAAGTTCAATCTTTTACCTTAAACCCACCCTCCAATATTTCTCTTTCACCTCCAAATCCAATCCCATCACATGATCATCATCACAATAACCAAACAGAAATCTCTATCAAACAAGATTGTTTGGTTATTAATAAAACTAATGACATTGGTTCAAACGGCTTGGAAGATTTTTTGAAGGTTCCAAGTGCTATGCATGATATGAATGAAGATGAATTATTTTGGAGAGCTTCAATGTTTCCTATGATTGGTAAACTTCCATTCAAACAAACGCCGAAGGTTGCATTTATGTTTTTGACAAAAGGTGCTGTTTTGTTGGCTCCTCTTTGGGAGAAATTCTTCAAGGGAAATGAAGGGTTGTTTTCTATCTACATTCATCCAAATCCTTCTTTCAATGAAACAGTTTATGATCAAAGCTCTGTGTTTTATGATCGAAGAATCCCAAGCAAGGTATGTATTCAAAATATTCTTTTTTTCATAAGATTTTAGATTTGAGTGTAAATACATTAGTTCTTTAGAAAAATATTTTTTATTTATTTAACTATGGTTAGTATTTTGCTGAGGGTGGTCATCTACAAAAAAAAAAAATATTTAGATTACATGAATATAATAAAATATTAATTTGATATTCAAATTTAAATATTGGTCTAATTATGATTTTTATTTAACTTTTTATATCTTTTATTTTGACCAAATAGATTTTTTTTTCAAATCTTAAATTATAACTTTTATTTAACTTTTTATATCTTTTATTTTGACCAAATAGATATTTTTAATTTTTTTTTTCAAATCTTAATGTAGAAGTTATTTACCATTTGAAAACAAAAATATGCTTGAATGAAAAAAAAAGAATAAAACTGAAATTTAATAATATTTTTATAAACTACTGATTTTATAAAACAGTTTTTTGAGTCTTGAATTCCGTGAGCTATTGAGACCTGACTTACCTAAATTATTGATACTAATAAAATATTAATCATTATAGAGTTTTTTTAAAGTTATTTTTATTCGAGACTACTTTGACTAAATAGGTATTTATATTTTCTTAATTTGAATTTTACTGTAAAAACTATTTACCATTTAAAAAATTAAAACTCAATAAATATTATATATATCAACGATTATATATTTTTTTAGACTATACTAATAAATTTATTAAACAAATATTAATTTAAAACACTTGTTAATTTAAAATACAATATTATTGAGTGAGTGAAATAACTCAATTAATATATGTTAATTAAGTTAAATAAATTTAAATTACTAAATTAAAATTTAATTCCTACCAATTTTATTTAATTATATTTATATATTAATGTTTTAATATAAATAATTTGTTGATATTTAAAAATCAAACATTTTTTCTTAAAAAATATTTGTAATGAGAGTTTAGTTTTATTTGGATCGAACACATTAATACTGTTTTAATTAATAATTTTGTTCTTTTCTAAATTTTTTTTAAAAAAAACATTAATTTTAAAAGAAAATATAATTATTTTCTGAAAATATTTTTTTATAGTTCCTTTCTGTTTCATTATTTTAAATGGAATCTGAATTGCCGTATTTTCTAATTTGTGATCTGTTAGAGTTCTCGAAGTAACCAAAAATGAAATAAGAAGATTCATTTTCTCACTGTGTATATATATGTCATAAAAATTCTTTGATTATTTGTACCACGTCATATAATCTTATAAAATTTAGATATATAGTGGATTTTTTTTATTTTTTATTTTGGGCCCCTCAAATAACAAGTTGATGTATAATTGCCAAAAATCAATAGTCCCTTCATATTTTAAAGATTACAAACTAGTTTTATTTTATGATACCCGAATTTAAGCATATTCAACATATTTTACTTTGATATGTTCTTTAATAAATAAATAAAGTTGGTATCATAAAACGAGTTTAAAGATAGTATATTATCAATGAAAAAAATATTACATAAATATTTTATTAAAATATTTTAATATCAAAACCATAAAAATGTTTTAAAATTTATAATGTAATTTAATATTTTACATAGTTGTTATTAATTAATTGACTGTATAAAAATAATTTGTGCATCATCTCTTTTTTCATAGTTTAATATATTAAATTTCTGACATTAACATATTTCATTGTCAATTAATTTATTATTCTTTTGGTTGCTTCCACAATAGTTAAACAAAAATATGATGCATACTTTTCTTTGATCCCACTTCTTTTGCTGTTCAAAAGAAAATTCTATTCCTCATTTTCAACCTCACTTTTCTACACCCATCAATTTTTTCACAATTCCTTTCTTCATGTACTTTCTCTTTTGTCTCTTGCATTTTAAAAACGATTCTAAAGACAAAATTTAATGTTCTTTTTGTTAAATCATTTTCTTGTAGATACCAACTTGCATCATCATATACAACACTAGGGTATATATTAATTTGTTTTTTTATAAGGTCCCATATACAAAAAAAATTTAAAATTAGAGTAGTATTTTCATTAATTTAGCATACAGTACAATAATGTCAATTAAAGAATTGTTCCTTCAACATCAGCATCTTCTTAATCATGTTTTATCTTTTGGGAAGATAAATAATAAGTTAAATTAATATAACTTTTTTAATCTTCTATAATATTTTTTTGTTTTCTTTTTAGTTTATTAAAAAAATATAATCGTTTTTTTGTCCTATTCTTGGTATTTTTAATATTATTTTTTATATAAAATACCATAAATTTAAGCTATTTCAAAAGATTATACAGAGTTATGTGCGATAATTTTTTAATTTATCATTTTTTTTACATTAAATATGAGAAATAATTAGGATTTTTTTTTTATTGTTCAATAATTAAAGAAAAAGGCAAAACATATGATTTTTGTATTGTTGATGCAGGAGGTAGTGTGGGGTGAGAATAGCATGATAGAAGCAGAGAGACGTCTACTAGCAAATGCACTGCTTGATTTTTCTAATCAACGTTTTGTATTACTTTCGGAAGCATGCATACCATTATTCAACTTCTCCACAATCTACAATTACCTAATGAATTCAAAACAAACCTTTGTAGAAGCCAATGATATAGAAGGTAATGTTGGACGTGGAAGATATAGATACACAATGAAACCATTGATTCAACTTTCACAATGGAGAAAAGGGTCACAATGGTTTCAAATAGATCGTTTTCTTGCACTTCAAGTAATCTCAGATGAACCATATTTTTCTGTGTTTAAACAATATTGCAACCCTCCATGCTATAGTGATGAACATTACTTGCCAACATTGGTGAGTATTAAGTTTTGGGAGAGGAATTCTAATAGAACTTTGACTTGGGTTGATTGGTCAAAAGGTGGACCTCATCCTTCAAGCTTTATTAGACCACAAGTGACTTGGGAATTTTTGGAAGGGTTGAGATTTGGAAGTACCTGTGACTACAATGGAGAGACAACCAATATTTGTCATTTGTTTGCAAGGAAGTTTACAACTAATGCTTTGGATAGATTGCTTAGATTTGCTCCAAAGTTGATGCAATTCAATTGATTTTATATTGAACATATGTAATTTTTGATTTTTCATTATTCATCTTATTTATTTGTGCTACTTTTTTCACCTTAGATGAACCACCAAATTTAATGATTTACGAAATAAATTCAAGGCCATTTAAGAATTTGGCCTTTGCTCTTCTTTTGTCTTACTAATTTATTATGCATAGTTGAACCATAATTTTTAATAAATTTAATGCAAATTAATTATGTTATTCTATAAGTTTATTGTGTGATAACCTATATTTAATCAAATTTTCCAATTATATTATATTTTTAAATGTTTTTGAATGAACAAATCTTTTAGGATATAATTTCTTTTGCTATTTGCTGTTTTGATTAAATATTTTTCTTTTGTTGGTTAGAACTAGTGTTTAGTTAGTTAGAGTTAAGCTTTGTAAGTTAGAGCCTTTTTCTCTAACAAACAGTATTAATGGGCTTATAAATAGAACTGAGCCCATCTTGTAATAATCAAGAATTAATAGAAAAATGTTTCAATCAATTTTTCTTCTCTATTTCATTATGTAAATTATCATTCCATTGCTAAATGTTATTGTTCTATCAAGAGCTTGATATTGCTCTGATATCTCTTTATCCACATTCTAAACAATAACTATCTTATCTCTTCTCTTCTTATCGGCTACACATTAAAAAACAAACTTTCATTTGATACCAAAAAGAAAAGAAATTGCATTTTCATCTTTGATTTCTCCCTCTTCGCTCTAAATCAGTTGATTTTTTTTCTTCTCATTTCATATTCATCAATGGTTACCATGTATCATGTAACACTCTCTAAATTTCTGGGCAATTATATGACATAATCTGAGTAAATTAACATGCATATAAAAAGAGAGCGTTACATGTACTTCAAAATAACAACACAAATACACTGGTCATGCTCATAACACGCATTTAAAATCATGTTACATACACTAACACATATGCATATCACAACGGAATAATTTTCTTTCATAATAATACCAATAATTGAAATCTCATTATGACAATTATACAATAAAACATTATGCACTAAAGGTCACTCATCACATAATCTCAAAATATAACATAAATAAAAGAGAGTATAACAAACATCTCTTAAAATAAACATGAGTTCAAACGTTTTCCGTGTTACATGACCAGAGCATGACTCTCTACCTAATAAGTGGATAAAACAAGAACTAGATCCTCTGACTAATCCTCGCAAGAAACACCACTATCTTCGGTACTTGAGCGATGTTATATAAAACATCATTTCAATAGAAGGGTGAGAATTCACATCATTTATAAAAATATATAATAATAAGTAACAAATAACATACATACATCAGTTGAATTCATCACACTTCACATAATCATGTATTCAACATAATCCAACACAACTCACATATTCACATATACAATATTGCTCAACGATTCATGATTCAAAGATAATCAATCACAGATACCACAAATATAACATTCACACCAATATCACATATTGCACACCAATTCAATATTTCACATCGACGCATGTGACTCAAATGCAACTCAATATAATATGCATTTGTTGTCCTTAACGGTTTTTATGTTTAAACTGTGTTCATCCCTCAGACAGATAACCACCAAAAAATCCATCCCTCAAGCTTTAAAACCAATCCCCTAAGTTTGGGACAAGTCACTAGCTCTCGCAAAAACTAGAAAATATTGCCTCTTGACAACAAATGATGTATGTGCAATCTCAACAATCATATGCAATTAAGATCATCCCGCAATCTTAATCATACAAGCACACATCACCTAATTCATCATATTTTAATTATCATCACAATTGCATAAACATACATATCTCATGTTATCAATCACATACAATACATTCTCATAGCATTCATAACTTCAACACATCATAATAACACATAGAAAACAATGCTAACACATGTTATTCACATCTAACATTGATTCATGACACACATATACATAAATTCAAGTATTATGTTTTTATCAAAAAGTCATCCAAAACCTATCCAATACACATTGAATAAATTATTAAAATTCATGAAAATCCCTTATAAATAATAAGCATACAAGATCCCCAATCAATTTAACAAAATTATAAGATTTCACATTGCAGGTCGCACTAAGCACACTCTTTGGCGCTAAGCGCCCTCCAGTCAGTAGCTTTCACACTAAGCACGGAAATCCGCGTTAAGTGCACTCTGATTTCTGCAGAAAAATCTGTGAACTCAATAGCGCATCAGTCTGAGTTTTGACTCCAAAAACCCATTCAAACTCATATTTTTCACCAATTAAACACATTACAACCTATATCTAACATATAGCTTCCATCATAAACATGAAAACATGTTTCAAACATCAATTTCATGGATTTCAACTCAAAACCCTAACATGTTAAAATCTAGAAATTGGAGAACAAAATCCATAAATCATGGAACTATCCATTACATACTTTTGTATAATACTATAATAAGCAAATTACTCACCCTTACCTTGGATGTAGATCCTTTCTAGGGTTTTATCTTCTTCTCTTCTCTTTTCTCCCCTTTCTCCTCTTTTCTTCTTTCTTCTCTTCTCTTGTTTTGACAATTCTCTCTCTTTGTTTTACAAAACTCTTAATAACTATGTTTTTACTAATGGGCTTAATGTATCATTCTCACACTAACCCATCACCAATGTCCAATTACTTAATAATGTTATTCTCACACTTACTAACCCAATACACACATAACATAATTAATCCAAATAATCTATATATTCACATAATCACACAATTTAATTAATTACCATATCATATAATAATTAATAAAATAAATAACTAATAAATATAAAAATTAGGGTGTTACACATCACAGGAGGCATTCACAATGGCTTACCACCACAACTCATGGCATTTTCCTTGTAGTGCATCATACGAGGCATTCACAATGGCTTACTACCACAACCCGTAAATTCCTCTATGGCCGGTCCTTTCTACATGCATTCCAACAATAATCTTGGGCCTGATATTGTTTCATCATCTCAGGGTCGCGGTAAAACTAACATGGACATACCAAATTTCCTTAACAAATATTTATCTTTCTTAACAAAAATGTAAGAATGCAAGCAACCATGAATGAATTGCAGTGTCAAAATGAATCCCTTCAAACTAGCGTCCAAAATATCTAACAATGACAATAGGAGGAGGATGAATAAGATGGAACAAAGGAGTTAGATCCTTATCCCCTTTCCAATGATATATGGGATGCTCTTTCTGGGATAACTTCAATTCGTCTTCCCTAGTAACATTTTATTGAAAGAGTGGTCCATTGGAGCACGTCACTATCGTCACCACATAAATGTTAGTAATTGGTGCGGCAGATTCCTTCAAATGTAGAGTTTTGCATAACACAAAAGAAAGCATCCCTACATCGGTATTTGAACCTTTGCAGGTTCTCTATTTCCATCTACCAAGATCTATCTAAAAAGTTAATTCATCATTTGCCGACGAGCATCTACATAAAAGTCTCCACAACCAGTTTGTTCATTGTATTTCAGGGGCACTCAGAATAATTGTGAGAATAAATGGTAAGTTTTAATCAGACCAACATTAAATTGGCCAAATACAATTAAAAAACGCTTGTAGGCATCTTCCTGAATGGGCTGAAGGTTAGGGAGTTTAATGAGTCACTTAAGCAGAAGTCAGGGGATTCCATGAAAGAGATCACATGGAGCACACAATTCTACATAAAATAAGAAGAGAGTAATGTGGAGAAAAAAAGACGAGAGAAGAAAAGGAGAGAAGTGGGGAAGGGTATGATTCCTTTGTCAATTGAAAAAGCTAATTCGTGTAACCAGTCCAAGAAATGGGAACCTTTAAACATAATAAAAGGTAGGAACATACCATAAGACCGAGAGAATATTACATGCCTCTGAATAGTATGCGAGAACTGATATTACAGGAGGTTTATCACACTAAAGTCATCTTTTACCATCCACTTCCAAGATGGGAAATAATGGGGAGCTAACCCAACAAGCGGTGAAAATACCATATTCAAAGGAAAATACAAAAAATTGTCATGAATTAAAGAAATAAACCAAACCCCTTAATCATAAGGGCTGTTTACAAAGTTATGTATAAGAAGTACATTGGAGTAATGTATCTCTTGCTTCTAGATTATTAAAGGTTTAGTGGCCAGGAAAATATTCCAGAAGCTTTAGTAAATACTTGAGTTGGATCTGAGATGTTATGCCTTGTGGTGACTGGCTCAGAAAAGGAACATGTATGGCTAGCACCAATCCAAGGAGTTATTTTCTTATGGTGGTCAAATATCTGGAGGTGTGGCCGGATCTCTAAGAATATGGCTGACCCAAAAAAGTTTCCCCAAAGACTTCACGTTTAAGGAATTAGTGCGAGGGTTTGAAGGATTTCAATACATCAGTTATCAGCCAGACTTTCTTTGCTTTACCTACTTTGTAACTTCAAATGTCTTTAGAGGAGTGATTATGATCTTTCTAGGGAACTAAAATACTCAAGTATTACGTGCAAGAGAAGTGATTGTTTGATAAGATACCTTTCATTTCATAAGGCCAATTCATAAATGTGGAAAAAACTATATTCAATTTTCTATTTTAGGTTATTCTTTCCCCTTGTTCCCAAACTGTTTGTCTCTTCTTCTCCTCTGAAGCATTTCTTCCTTTTTCTTTAATTTGCTATTGTAATATGGCAAAGTGATCCAAGAAAACCGTGAAAAGGAATCTGGTGAACCCATCCTCCATGTGGGAAGGTTCTGTGTATTCTTCGACCATCTCGATATTTGACAGATAGGGGAACCTAAATGGAGCCTTTTCAGATGTGGGTGAACTGTCGCTTTGGGGGCTTACTATTCTTGGTGACGACGACATGATTTTAATGAGTATGGTAATTGTACCATTATCCTGTATGAGTACCTCTTTTTTGTTTTTGTGGGTTCATTTGCCTTTTACTACTTTTAAGGTGAGCATTTTCAGCTATTTAATGGTGGCTCC